TAATGAGAGACTACAACACCATAAATCCATACCAATACCTGAATCAACAAAGCATAGCTAAAAATGCAATATTGAAGATAATAAAATGCATAGTTAGAATGAAACAAGTCTGCTTTATGCACCTGCAGGTTTCAAGCCTATATTCTTATTTTATTCAGCAAGGTAAAATACAGAACAGGTTATATTATAACTTGGAGTAAAAATACATTACACGCTTGCAAATTAAAACCAAATAACAATGTTGCCCATCTAGCTTGTTTATTTCTATACATTCCTGTTTGCAAATTTGCTTTGTTCATATTACGATAAAGCAAGATTTTCCTCTGCATTGGGGGTGCACTCACCTCCATGGTATTTTCCTCCATTCTCCAATAAGTGCTGTACATGTTAATGTAATATAGAAGCATATTTTAAGTAAATATCTTTACCATGATTGAAGAAAGCCTCTCACTATCTTACTCTCAGGAGAGGGTGGGCGGGGTTCTGATTTGGACCATTTGAACATATCTACAATAGAATATTAAGCAGACATGTAAACAAGAAACATTTTCTATATGAACTGCATTATGACCACCAGGGTGCCCAGGTGGTCATAATGTTATGGTGGATTGGTGTACATACTATCATATACGTTAAAACCTTTTCTGCATGTAAATTGATATCAAAATGTGTTTTGTTTCAATATAGGTAGCTGGTTACAGTAAACAATTTCTTAAAGTCATCTCTGTGCAAAAGTTATTCTGGAAAACATTAACCATGCAAAAAAAATGTTTGCTGAGAGTTCAGTTGTGTGTACATAGCATTTGTTTCATGTCTCACATTGGGAATGGCTATACTGAAACCAAGTCAGTGTCTGCGAAATGGATGAATAAAGAGAAGTAGAGTCAGTGTTGGAGGTGGTGCTCTGTTCATTCCTATAAAAGTGGTTCAGTGATGCATGAAACCAAAAAAGCCAATTCCCGCTGCAAAGAAATTACCCAGATAAATACACACATGCTCTATGGGCCACTGGATATGCAACAGAGATATCTGGTGGCAAAGCCAGCTGATAAATATTTAAATCTTGTATCTTTTACACTTTAAAATTCATTTGATGGGGGGTTGTGACACTCAAAAAAATGTATGCACCGTATTACAGCCACTTCTTCCACAATGTAAGCTTATGGAAAAAGCTTTTTTGATATGTTGATAAGTTTGACCTTTCTTTTTCTGTTCTTTTTTAAGTGTTCATTTTATTACTGCTGTATCACAATATTTGAATATTTGTAAAAACCACAAGACTGAAAAAAAAAGTGCAGGAGCAGACCTGCCTGAAGCAATTCCAATGGATTTCATTACAGTATGATGTACTGTATGGAGTAGAAGGAATTAAATAAAGGAAAACTAATGACACATTTCATTATTTTGTTTTTTTATTGTGGTTCTACCTGAACAGCAGTACTGTAGTACAATATGTAGCAGGTTCAAACACTGAAACATAATATGCTGTTAAAACAACAGGTGCAGAATACATAACCAGAAGTCTAAATAATTTTAACTTTTCAGCCACATTTAGCCCAGTTTTAACTTCGACATTTAGATGTATTTGGACCTGCTAATCACCAGATTCATGATTACTGGGAGACTACAACATCAGAATTTACCACCTGAATCAACAAAGCATAGCTAACAATGCAACAATGCAAAAAAGTAAACTGCATGATGAGAATGATACAAGTCTGCTTTGTGCACATGCAGTTTTTAAGCCTATATGTATATTTTATTCAGCAAGGTAAAATACAGAACAGGTTATAAGATAACTTAAAGTAGATACTATATGCTTGCAAATAAAAAACAAATAGTGATACTGCCTACTGTATTTCCTTATTTCTACACATTCAGTTTTGCAAATTTGCTTTTTTCATGCTGTGATGAAGCGAGTATGTAGATCTACAGGTTGTTGACAAAATCTTCTCCAAAATCAATCATCTGTCGCAGTGCACTCAGTATCAGTGTATCAATGTCATCATCTGTGAAATTCGAGTGGTAGTTCTTCACAGGAAAGATGCAGTTCAGTGGAATACCCAGCGACACATTCAATTCCTCCACCTGAATTTTAACAATTTGACATATTAAAAAATGACTACAAAATGTTGATCAATGGGCATTTTTGTGTTTTCTGTAAATATTAAAATAAAAAGTGTAAATATATTCCAACTTGAATTACAACACTCTACAAACTCAAAATTACCAATAAAAACATACCTTTTTCTTCAGGGATTTGCTCTTATACACGTTCTTTATATCTCTTTTGACATCTGGACAAGCTTCATCAATTTTGGTGAGAATAGCCAGTTGGGGAATCCCTGCCAATGCAAAGCAGAATGTGAGTCATCGATGATCATGTTTGTAAGGGTATTTGATTCAACTTATGAAACCCAATAACTAACCCTAACCCTTACCCATGTCCCTGGCTGCAAGTCTGACTTCCCTCATCTTTTTCACAGTTTCATCACTCAGTAAATGTACTGTGCTGGCAGGGACAACACAGACCAGAACATGAACTTTGTCATTTAGAGTGGGGGTCTTGTTGTAGCTGTGATCATCTTCAGATATTGTAGAGGCAGGATTGAACTGGAAAAAAGAATGTGTGTGTAAATTTGTGTGTAAATAGTATGTATGTAAATGTATTTTTTATTTGAAATACATTTGTTTTTTCATAATAGATAACAAAGTAAGATTGTGTTATTGAAATCAATAAAGTTTAATAATTTCAGTAATTGTACTTTGTAACCATCTTTTATGTTTCCCCTCATGGCCAGTTTGATGTCCTCCACACAAACTCCTCTGTTAGTTCCCTTCTCAAGGCCCATGATGTCAGTGAAGGCAAAAGGGTAAAATGTTCCTGGTCCTCCTTTTTGGATTTTGTAAGTTTTGTACTGTAAAACAGAGAGGTGCCGTTATAATGACAACAATGCCACATGTTGAACAATGACCATAAAGCAGTTTGTCTGATTAGCTCAGCACTGCTCCTAGCTGGATCTGTTCTGCAATGATCATTGCAAGTGCAAATGAAATAAATTCGAATACACAGTGAAAGAGTTGTTGAATGTCATGAAGTTTTACAGTGCATGAAATACATGACTTTGGTTAAAACACACTCAGACGTGATTCATACTTCAGTGGTGAAGCTGTCGCCAGAGGTTGCATCAACTAATGCTTGACCAGTGATTCTGCCTCGTAAAAGACTGTCGACAGAATTGATGAAACTGGACTTGCCAGAACCAGCCGGTCCATGAAGCAGAATTCTGAGCTGTTCAAGGTCTTTATTATGAGGCTGATATTCCTCCACATCTCCCAGGTCTCTCTCTTTGTGGCTGTTCAATAAAGAGGTAACATTTTATTGCTTGGTTGTAAAATGACATAACAAAAATTAGACTCAAAACTAAAGTGTATGCAGTTGTGCAATTGTTGTGCACTCACCCCCATGGGATTTTCCTCCATTCTTCAATAGGAGCTGTACATGTTGATGTAATATAGAAAAATATTTTAAGTAAATAAATCACCAAAATTGAGATGGCCTCATTATTATAATGAGTATAAACAATGGATGTAATATTTAGAATATCTTACTCTCAGGAGGGGGTGGACGGGGTTCTGATCTAAACCATCTGTACATAGCTACAATAAAGTATTAAGCAGACATGTAAACAAGAAACATTTATCGATATGAACTGCATTATTTATTGCCTAAAATCAAAGACTGTTGCAACTTGTCACAGGTAAAAGCTGACTAAACTGTGCTGCAATAGCAAACCATTCTTTATTAATGTTTAACACAAGCACCAAAGATATTTTATGAGAGGTTATTTGCTCAGTTTAATCATTAAATATGTTATGCAACAGAAAGAAAGTTCATGCTACCTAAAGCTAAAACATGTATGATTCAGAAAACAGTTCTGTACAGATCATGATGGTCAGGTGAAATTCACTGCCATTGATTATTGTTCTCTTTTTGTGTATGAATTACTGTTTGTCGTGAACAATGACTTGATTGAAACATGATTTGTTTTTCTTCCAATTGTATTTGTATGTTAATTTCAATATGATGAGCTTTTTCTTTCAAGGTGTTGTCCTAATAAACAAACAAACAAACAAACAATTTCTTTAATGAAACTGTAGAATATATACAATAAATAAATTGTGTTCAAGAAGAGAAAGTGAAAGTACAACAGGTAAGTGGACACAAAATGAAAACTTGGACATGCATTGGACAGGCAGAGAGCAATGACGTGGCTACCTGAACGTGGCTGGTGGATAACTGGTTGAAAGCTGGCAAGCAGACAGTTGAGGTGTGGTCTTGGAGCACAAAAGAGATGGTTAGGCAGGAATACAACATAAGAAACTAAGAAATCACAAAGGAAACTTAAATCTTGGGACACAAGCAGATACTGGTGTGTCCACAGCACCACTGTTTACTAAATTAGCTGCTACTGGTAGACTGTATCTGGGGTTGAAATATTAAGCTGAAGAGCAAATGCACGGCAAATGAGCCAGGTGGGCGTTGTGATGAGCTGATAGCAGGAGCAAAGTTGGGAGCCAAGAGGGAACACACATACACAGGAGCATACAGGAGCACAGGAGACACAGAGGAGGGGGGAAACACAAGAAAACACTATGGAAAATGTACGACCGTGGCCATGACACTTTCACTAGTTTTAGGACAGAACCAAAATATAAATTATATTACAAATACAAATACTTGTAAAGAAAAAGAGAAAATGCAAACTTAAGATAAAATGAAAACTCACTTCAAGAGTTGTGACCGTGGAAAGAAGCGGTGATGGTTTACCTCAAGTAATGATCCTGAAATTGAGTAATTAAGCTTTATCTTCTGTACTCCAAGTTTCTTTTTAAAAAATGACATGATATAACTTAACCACAGTTTCTTGTGCCAAAATTAAAGCAGTTAATAATCATGAGCTGATGTTCCCAAACTACTGAATTTGAAAGACATACCTCCTGTCGTAGTCGTTGATGTCTGTCTGTTTATCATTTGAGGCCATCAATTTATTTGTTTTAACATCGTTTCAGTTTCTTTTCTGTCATGTGATTGAAATAATTTGCCTATCGGAAAGCAGGAACTAAGGATGTGTTCAGGTGTGTCACACAACTGCTTCACACACTTCAACTGAAATTCAGCATGTCCACTTATAACTTATTTCAGTAATTGCATTTATTTATTATTATTTTATTTGCCACTATAAGGGGCCAAGTATATCCTCAGTTTAGTTTTTTTTTGTTCGTTATTTGTTGTTATTTCATTACTACTGTATCACAATACATTTGTAAAAAACACAAGACTGAAAAATATTGTAAGGAGAAGGCCTGCATGAATTACCTCCAATGGATTACATTACAGTATAGGGTACTGTATGGACTAGAAAGAGTTAAATGAAGGGTAACTGGTGACAAATTTCATTATTTTTAGTTTTTATTGTGGTTTTACCTGAACAGAAGTAATGTAGTACATTGATTAGAAATGTAACAGGTTCAAACATTGAAACAGAAAATGCTGTTGGAACAACAGGTTCAGTATATGTAACCAGAACTTTTTAAGCACATTTAGCCCAGTTTTAACTTAGACATTTAGATGCCTTTTGACATGCTAATCGTTTAGTTTATGATTAATGAGAGACTACAAAACCACAAATCCATACCAATACCACCACCAAAGTGTAAATAATGATGAAGAAAATAAAATGCATAATGAGTATGATACAAGTCTGCTTTATGTACCTGCAGGTTTCAAGCCTATATACTTATAGTTTATTCAGCAAGGTAAAATACAGAACAGGTTATATTATAACTTGTAGTTGAAATACGTTATATACTTGAAAATTAAAACCAAACAGCGACATTGCCCACTTCATTTCTTTATTTCTACACATTCCTGTTTGCGAACTTGCTTTGATCAGGCTATTATAAAGTAAGAATTTCCTCTGCAGTATGTTGGTCTACGGGTTGTTGACAAAATCTTCTCCAAAATCAATCATCTGTCGCAGTGTGCTCAGTATCACAGCATCAATGTCATCATCTGTGTAAATCTCTGAGTGGTAGTTCTTC